ACACAGGCCAGATTTCATTGTTTCTCATTGCCATGTAGTATTCCATGGTATAGATAAACCACATCTTCTTGATCCATTCATCTGTTGATGGACACTTAGGAAGAGCATGTGACTCTTAATCTCAGACTCATGAATTCAAGCCCCATGTTGGGAAGGAAGGAAGGAAGGAAGGAAGGAAGGAAGGAAGGAAGGAAGGAAGGAAGAAAGAAAGAAAGAAAGAAAGAAAGAAAGAAAGAAAGAAAGAAAGAAAGAAAGAAAGAAAGAAAGAAAGAAAGAAAAAGGGAAGGGACAGAAGGGAAGGAGGGAGGAGGGGGAGGGGGAGGGGGAGGGGGGAGGGAAGGAGAGGAGGAAAAAAGGAAGGAAAGAAAGACGTGAAGCTGTCACTTACAAAAGGTGTTGTTTTAATAAACTATGTTTTAAACCAGGTTTGAGTCACAGCAAAATGAAGCAGAAGGTCCTCGGTTCCCTGATACACACATAGCCTCTCCCCCCATCACCACCCCGCACGGTCGAGTGACGCGTGTGTTACGATGGGTGAATCTACACTGACACATCCTCACCACCCAGAGATCGTAGTCATACTAGGGTTCATCTCTCTGGTATTGCACCTTTTATGGGTTTGGACAAATGCAGTTTCACTGTCCTGAAAACCCTGTGTTCTGCTTACCGTCTCACCCCCCCAAGCCCTGGCAACCTCTGACCTTTATCCTGTCTGCATAGCTTTGCTTTCTCCAGAATGTCATGTAGTTGGAACCATGCACTATGTAGCTTGTTTAGATTGACCGCTTTCACCCAGTGATACGCATTTTTAAGTTTCCTCCATGTCTTTTCACAGCCTGATAGCTCATTTCTTTTTAGTGCTGAGGAACAGTCCACTGTATGGTTGTACCACAATATATTTATTCAGTCGTCTACTGAAGGACATCTTGGTTGCTTCCAAATTTTGACAATTATGAATACAAGTGCTATAAACTTCCATGTTCAGGTTTTTTATGGACATAAGTTTTCAACTCCTTTGGGTAAATACCAAAGAGTACAATCACTGGATCATATGATAAGAGTTTAATTTTGCAAAAAACCACCAAACTGTCTTCGAAAGTGGCTGTACCGTGTTGCATCCCTACCAGTAATTAATGAGACTTCCTATTATTCCACGTCCTCACCATCATCTAGTGTTGTTGGTGCTCTGGATTTGGGCCATTCTAATAGGTGTGTAGTGGTATCTGATTGTTGTGTTAATCTGCATTTCACTGATGACATATGATATGCAGCACCTTTTCATATGCATAAATGCCATCTATATACCTTCTTTGGTGAGGTGTCTATTAAGGTCTTTGGCCAATTTTTAATTGGGTTATTTATTTTCCTATTGTTGAGTTTTAAGGGTTCTTTGTATGTTTCAGACAAGTCTTTCATCAGATGTCTTTTGCAAATATTTCCTCCCAGTCTGTGGCTTTTTTTTCCCTTTCTTGACAATGTCTTTTGCAGAGCAGAAATTTTTAATTTTAGTGAAATCCATTCTTCCATTCTTAGATCATATCTTCAGTGCTTTTATCTATAAAGTCATCATCCCAGGTCATCTAGATTTTTCTCCTGTTATGTTCTAGGAGTTTTATAGTTTCGCATTTACATTTAGGTCCACAGTCCATTCTGAGTTAATTTTTATGGTGGATATAAGGTCTGTATCTAGATTCATTTTTTAAATACATAGATGCCCAGGCATTTCCACACCATTGATTGAAACACAAATATTTGCGTTCCCCTATCAACTTAAAAAAATTTTTTTTAACAATTATTCACTTTTGAGAGATGGAAAGAAACAGAGCATGAGCAGGGGAGGGGCAGAGGGGGAGGGAGACACAGAATCCAAGGCAGGCTCCAGGCTCCGAGCTGTCAGCACAGAGCCCGACACGGGGCTCAAACCCACGGACTCCGCGATAATGACCTGAGCTGAACTGACACTTAACCGACTGAGCCACCCAGGCACCCCATTCCCTACCACCTTTTAGTAAGAGGGGCCTGGTAGTATATTAATGTACATTTGTTTCTGACAATAATAATAAATCTTGCTAAAAGCCTAGGCTGCAGGCATTTCATATAAAAACCCAACAGTAGTGTTGCTTTTATTCATTTCCCTCACAACTGCTCTGTGAACTGGATTAGTGGTGTGGCCTCATTTTACAGACAGAAAGGCGGACAGAGAGAGAGAGCAGGAAAGCTGCCTTCCTCGCCCTACAAGGCCCAACGCACAGTGAGATTTCCTGTTTACCGTCTGTCTCCTGCGCACCAGAGTACCTGACGCATGAGGGTTGCTCGTTTTCACTCTGTCATCTGTAAAGCAATGAAGAAGATGCACACTGGATTCTCTAAGGAGTTCTTTAAGGAAACACCTAAGGATAACATTTTTCAGAAATGATCTTTCTCTCACATTAAAAGATAAATGTGAGGAGAAACCTCAAGTTACCCAATCTGAAGGAGTATGAAAACCCCTTCTTATCAGGAAAGGAGGCATCTCACAGTTTCAGTCCTTTTACTACAAAGGCAAAAAATATTAAACCTTGTTCCCTTTCTTCTCTTTGGTAGTAATGCTAACGACAGAAAACGATTTCCCAATTGTGAGCCTGAGTTACAGGTGAAGGGAAACATTAGGAACCTGCCTTAATATGTCGTGATCATTTTTCCACAATGATTCTTCAGAAAGGTTACACCAAAAAATAATCTGGGGGATTGGGGAAGTTGTGAGGACTAGAACACATCTGAATAATTTCGGAGGCAGAAAGAAGACACTTATGTCAATCTCCAGCAGTCCCAACTTAAATATTACCCTTCCTAACTGAGCACTGCTACTGATTTTTGTGGTTACTTCACGTGTGAATGGCTGGCAGAGAAAGGTTATATGACAAATTTATTAGTTCCTCACACAAGGCATTTTGTGAAAAATTCCAGAATTCCAGAATTTTGTGAAACTTAGTATAGACCGTTTTTTTCACTTTGGCGTCCAGTCTTCCTATTGATCTGCCTCATGTGCCGGCTGTTCCCATTGCTCTGAATCAGTGCTGCTGTCGCAAGAAGATCCCATACTTCCGTCCGACACGCTTCCAGACAACTCTCCATGTGGTCACCAAGCACTTGTGTTTTTAGCAGTTGTTCATATGTTGACTCTAACAACTGAATTTGAGAAACTATGACTCAGAAAGAGCACTCTTCGAACAAAAGTCAGTGTTTTTAACACATAGAAAGATTTTAACTAAAATACAGATAACTGGATCTCCTGGCATAATATATTTTTTAAGTGTTATGTTACTTTTCCCTTTGTTCCTGACTAAGACTCAGTTTCTTTGTTTTTTAATGTTTTATTTATTTCTAAGAGAGAGAGAGAGAGAGACAGAGTGAGCAGGGGAGGGCCAGAGAGAGAGGGAGACACAGACTCTGAAGCAGGTTCCAGGCTCTGAGCTGTCAGCACAGAGCCCAACGTGGGGCTCAAACCCACGAACCGTGAGATCGTGACCTGAGCCGAAGTCAGACACTTAACCGACTGAGCCACCCAGGCGCCCCAAGACTCAGTGTCTAATCTCTATTGTTCTCCTTGCTGGTGGCGTTCAGCCCTATTAGGACTTAAACTTCTTTGCTTAACCGTACATTTTGCTTCTGCACTAACTCATCGATTTCCTACTCTGTCAACATCCACATCTTTAGCTACACCCTGAGAAGACAAAACTGGGGTGACCTAGGAAGACAACCTGGCGCAGCGGGGAGACTATGGACACAGTCTTGTCGATGTCATGTATGAGTTGAGGGACCCTGGACAAGTTCATTCACACTAATGCCCAGCCCACAGGTTCTGCAGGGGAATTAAGTGAGACGCCGCATGTGAAACACACAGTGCTGTGCAAATAACAGGAGTGGGGTTAATAAGCGTCTATTTTCAGTCAAGCCAGTTAACTCCTTTCTCTCTGCTTTTTCATCTTTAAAATGGTAGTGATAATATGGAGAGCAGCAATAAAATGGAAGTGAGACAAAGCATGCGGAGTATGTGGGAGACAGTGAGCACTCCGGGAACATCAACCTCCCACCCGTGATCAATACGGAAAGACCATCTGGATGGAAGTTTTATGATTCTGTGACTTAAAATATACACTTTTTTTTAATGTTTTATTTATTTCTAGGAGAGAGAGAGAGAGCGTGAGCAGGGGAGGGTCAGAGAGAGAGGGAGTCACAGACTGAAACAGGCTCCAGGCTCCGAGCTGGCAGTCAGCACAGAGCCCGATGCGGGGCTCGAACCCACGAACCGCAAGATCATGACCTAAGCGAAAGTCGGACGCTTAACCGACTAAGCCACCCAGGCGCCCCTAAAATATACACTTTTAATGGACTCTCTACGTTAGGAAGT